AAACCCTAAACCCTTAAATCCTCAAGCCCGCTTGCCACGATTTCGAGGCCAGAGCTCCTCCCTGGATGGCCGCGGAGATTCGCAGTGGCTTGTTTGGTCTGGGATGCCTTCAAAGAGGGACCCTATCATAGAACCCGATAGTACCATGTAAGGGAGCTTGAAAGGGTTCTCATGCGGGTTTCTTTTTGGCGTTTTATGAAGGTTCCATAGATTGGGGTTTAGGGTTTCTGGGTTCGGAGGTTTTAGGGCTTAGGGTTCCATTGCGCGTCCCGGCCTAAATGGCATGGGCTGTAGTAAGCGGAGTTGTATGTGCGTTTTGTCGTCGCAGCCCTAAACCCTATACCCTAAACCCTAAAACCGTCCCTAAACCCTAAACCCTAAACCGTGCTTAAGGCAAGTGTCGGGGAACTACTGTTCGGTTGTTGCGAGGCCAAGAGGCTACAGCTTGAAACTGTCTGAAAAGCACGACCGCAGTCCCAAAGCGAAGAAGTTCTATCATACAAAATTCTTCCTACTATACGTAAAAAGCCATTGACAACCTACAAAATTCTTCCTACTATACGTAAAGAGCCATTGACAACTGGCTTTTACAACCACTTGCGCAGAGACAGCGTCCGACATTCGCAGTCGGCGCCCTCAACTCTAAACTTTATGCCCTAAACCCTGAGCCTAAGCCCAAAACCCCAAGCTCCACAACCTCATCCCCGAACTCTAAACCCCCAAACCATCTCAAATCCTAAACCCTAGACCTTAACAGCCGCAAACCCCAAACATTAAGAACCGCAAAGTCCAGGTGACATCGCCCACTGGCGCGGGAAGAAGCTTCGCCGAGTGGATCTCGATCGCTTCGAGGTAGCCTTCGGTCGCCGCAGAAGCGGCTGTTTTGGTGGGTTTGGCTTTAGGTTTAGGGTTGTGGGTTTTTGAGTCAGGGATTTGGGGTTCTGGGTTTCTGGATTTGGGATTTAGGGTTTGAGTTTTGGGCCTTGGGTTTAAGGTTGGGGTTTGGTTTGGGTTTGGGGCTGGTGCGTCGGGGCTCAGGATCAAGGGTTTTGCTTGTGCTTTGTTTGCGAAGGTTTGGACAGAAATTGCGAGATTTTTGTTCAGTGGTTCTGCGGTGTGTATTTAGAACTAACTAGATTGGAGCGGGATTTTACGATGACTTCGGGTTCATAAGGGCTTACGGGCGTTGCAGCATTGTGTTAGGTCCAATGTTTTGAACCTGCGCTGGTGGCTCCGGGTGGTTTTGAGGACTGTTGGGAGTGAAGAGGCAGTCTTGTGGCTTGCATCCTCATCAAGTACTATAGGAACCAAAATAGTTACCAATACTAGTTTGGGGCGTCCTTATTAATTAGTATAAGTATAATAGTATAAAAAACCCAACACCTATTCTAATTACTAAGACGACCACCTTAAGTTCCCTTGATCATTTTAGGGCTCCATGGCTGCGACAGTTTAGCTGCTTCGCCTTACAAGAGTCTGACTTGCTGGTCAAGTCAACGCTTCTAAACCTGCGGCTGAAAGCACCTTCTATTACGCTGCGTAGCCTAAACGATGGAATCTATGGTGTGTTCCTTGTTGTGGATGAAATGCAGCGTTTCCTCCATCAGTATGAACCCTCTTGGAGACAGCTAACTTACAGCCCGTCTTCTCCAAGTGTGAGATCTGAGTCAAACCTTAAACCCGACACCCTAAACCTTAAACCCGACATCCTAAACCTTAAACCCGACACCCTAATCCCTAAACCCTAAACCTGTAAACCCCGAGAGCCCTACGACCTGAAGACCTGAAGCCCTAAACCCGTACGTACCCCGAAACCCCTAACGCTCTAGGGTTCAGGGATTAGGCTTCAGGGCTTAGGGTTTCGGGTTTAGGCTTTAGAATTCTAAATCCCTAAGCCCCTAACGGTTTAGGGTTTAGGTTTTAGGTTTTAGGGTTTAGGAGTCTAAACCCCAAAACCCCTAAACCCCGAACCCCTAAACCCCAAACCCCTAAACCGAGGCCTCTGAGCTCTGAACCCTCGCCCCGTGTTTTAGGGCTTAGGGCTCTATCCCTCCAGGCTTTAGGCATGGCTCTGCAAACCCCAAACCCTAAACCCTAAACCTAGACCCCAAACCTAAACCCTAAACCCTAAACCCTAAGCCCTAAACCCTAAACCCTAAACCCTAGACCCCAAACGCGAAACCCTTAACCCCAAACCCGAAACCGTTTCAGAGGCTCTTGGGGTTTCGAGTCGCCTTGCCGCGGCAAGGCACCGGCGCGCGGCAAGTTTTGCCGCTTCCGCGTGGTGAAAGGCGCGGGGCTGTCAAAGGATGATGGTTTAGGGTTAGGGTTTGGGGTTTAGGGTTTAGGGTTTCAGGGTTTAGGGTTTAGGGTTTAGGGTTTTAGGGTTTTAGGGTTTAGGGGATCAACAACGTGTTTCCTTCTATTTGTCACGACTGTACTTCTAGTCAGTCGAGCACAATCAGGATAAAAGCACGATGTCTTATGTTTGGTGTTTGCCTACCTGCCACAGTCAGCATCAAATCAAGCTTTCTTCCCCTTGGAGATTTCGTATTAGCTGTCGTCTTCGTGGTTTGTCAGGGTCAGGGGCATGCTAGCAGTAGCCAGTACCAGTAAAAACTACAGAATACAACGGGGATTCGTTGTGGTGGTGGTGGTGGTGGTGGTGGTGGTGGTGGTGGTGGTGTCGGTGGTGTTGTTATTATTGTTGTCGTTGTTGGTGGTGGTGGCGGCGCTCGTCCTCGTCGATTGGGCTTGTGGTTGTGGTTGTGTTTGTGCCCTTGCTGTTGCGGTTGTCGTTCTTGTTGCTGGGGCTGTTGGTGTTGTGGCTGCGGTGGGACGAGTAGTCGTGCTGTTGCTGGTACGACCCGTATTCACGATACTTCGCTATTTCACCATGATCACAACAACAGCTACCACCACAAGTAGTACTTCCCCCACTGCTGGGTCCACCACGACTAAACCTTGCTAGCAACAGGAGTAAGTGGAGGAGCAGGAGGAGGAGGATGAGCAGCATCAGCAGGCTGTGCCGTAAACCCGCAGCAGGACTCTGGTCGAAGATTGCTACTGCGGTTGGGCACTTCAAGGTCAACGTTTCTCCGCTATGCTGGCATTGCACACCTGCGTCCCTAAACCCTAAATTCAAGTTCGAATCACGGTTGAATCCGATTGAACCGCCAGAAACCATTGAGATCCTCAAGCCTTCATCAGGCAAGCTGGTGACCTGCGAACCCCGGACCCTGGAGTTGTGTAAAGGCGGCCCCGGCAGTGCTTCTCAGCGGCGATTTCTTGGGTTGGGGGTCGGAGAGGGTGTCGAGATGCAGGGGTAAGCAAACCCGACAGAAGAATAGGATCCCAATATATGGGCCCCCAGAACAGGCCAGAAGCCCAATTTCTTTCGAAGGCAGCACTAGCAGTATACTCTGTAAGAGCGGCGAGCTCAAACTTATATGGACTACCCATAGGCCCCATAGTAGTTCCTTTTTGTGGCTTTTCTGTAGGATCTTATTAGGTAATCCGAAAAAAGGAACTACTAAGGACCCTATGGGTACCCATCTACAAACGCTTCAAAGCTAAATAACGCACTGCTTACTTCAGAGATTGGGGACCTTTGGATGGGTCCCGAACCCCGATCTACTCCACGGTCCGAGCCCCGATAGCCTCGCCCTAAACCCTAAACCCTAAACCCTAAACCCTAAATTTAGGGTATACCATCACCTTATATCCTCGATTCAGCAGATAGTATAACAGTATAGCGCACTCCTAAACGGCCCTAAGCCTGATTTTAATTGTTTCGGGCGCCTCATACTACGCCCCAAACCCCAAACCCCAAACCCTATAGTTAGCCCTAAACCACAACCCTCAAGCGCTGAGAGCAACATGATTTCCAAAGAAAGGGATATGCCTTGCACCGGCGACATTGGGGTCTACCGAAGGCTTAAGGTTTCGGGTTCAGAGCTTAGGATGGAGTATTTCTCATTTCGCTGATGGCATACATCGCAAGGGTTGTTGAGCCCGACATGTACCCTAAACCCTAAGCCCTAAACCCTAAACTCTAAACCCTAAACCCTAAACCCTAAACCCTAAACCCTAAACCCTAAACCCAGTCCTGCTTTGCCGAAACACCCAGGAGCCCTATGGGCAGTTCGAGGCCTTTGCAGGGGGGGGGGGGCGACTTTGAGTGAAGTTGAGGGTTTAGGGTTTAGGGTTTAGGTTTTAGGGTTTAGGCTGTAGGCTTTAGGGTTTAGGGTTTAGGGTTTATGGGTGTGGGGTTTAGGGTTTAGGCTTTAGGGTTTAGGCTTTAGGGTTTAGGGTTGAGGGTTGAGGGCTCAGGGTTAAGGGATGCTTAGGGTGTGAGGCTCTGGGTTTAAACCCTACACCCTAAACCCTAAACCAAACAAGGCCGCTGCACTTTAAAAATACCTAAACCGTGAAGGTTTAGGGTTTAGGGTTTAGGGTTTAGGGTTCAGAGTTTAGGGTTTAGGGCTTATGGTTCAAAGATGTTTAGGATTCAGTGCTTTTGTTCTCCAACGCTGCGGGCAACTTTTGAACAGAAGCCTTCTGACTGGACATCCCTAAACCCTGAGCTCTAAACCCAAGACCCTAAATCCTAAGCCCTAAACCCTAAACTTTAAGAGAAAAGAGTCCTAAACCCTAAACCTCTAAGCCCTAAATTCTAAACCTTAAGGAAGTTTAGGGTCCAGGGTGAAGCGCTAGAGACCCGACAGTTCTCAAAACCGAACCGGGCTAGTCGCTCGGAGTTAGGGTTTAGGGTTTAGGGTTTATGATTTAGGGTTTCGGGTTCATGGTTTAGGGTTTAGGTCGAGCAACTGTACAGACACCCAGCGGAAGCCAAGAATCTCTGAGTTTTTGTAACCCCCGAAACTCACTGCCCTGGCATAGACCCTGAAACAGTGGCTGTCCTACATCCTGCAGCCCTGAGCCCGTAGAAGGACTCCTCAAGCCCTGCTTTAAAACACACAGAAACAGCTGATAAATCATAAGGCCCCTGTGGCAATCGTTGCAAAGCCCCTTGTGCAGGCCGTTTACCCGGAACACTTTATAAACTGTTTTAGAACTCCTATCACACTTTAACTTCCCTAAACCCTAAACCCTACACCCTAAACCCTAAACCCTAAACCCCGTTTTGTGTCTCGGGTTTGGGTGGTCAGGCTTCCGGATTCGCCATTGGGGTTTAGGGTTTAGGGTTTAGGGTGTGGTGTAGGGAGTTGGGCTTTGGTTCTTACAGCTGGTATTTCTCGCGGTTCTATGACTTTGACTGCATTTTTGCACCCGACGCCACTAAACCCTAGACCCTAAACCCTAAATCCCTGAAGCCTAAAGACTACAGCCCAAACTCGAAGCCCAGAAATCCTAAGCCTAAACCCTAAACCCTAACCCCAAACCCCAACCCCAGAAACCCTGAGCTCAAACCCGAAACCCCGAACCCCAAACCCAGAAACTCTACGGAAGCCTCGAAACCATGGGGTAGTTTTTTAAATCAGGGCCCCTTTCAGGTCCCCAATGTCGTACGGCACCCTTACAAAAAGGATCCCCAGAACGGACCCTAACCCCTAAACCCTTAAACCCTAAACCCTAAACCCTTATAAAAAGGATCCCCAGAACGGACCCTAATTTAGAGAACCACTCCATAATCGAAAGCCCAAAGAGGCCGCTGCTCGCGCCTCCAGGATCTTGCTCGAGCTGGGCCTGCTGCGCCTGGGCGTTGGTACATGTATGTATGTATGTATGTATGTATGTATGTATGTATGTATGTGTGTATAGTTATAATATATATATATATGTTTGTGTGTACTGTAGTGCACAGGTACTTTTTCCTCTGTATACATACACACATATACATATATGTATCTATTCTACATCTATCGCTTTCTAAATTCATGTACCGTCTTTTTTATGAACATATGATACACTACTTTGTGTTGATATTACGTTCTGTGTTCATTCCGTTACAGTACAATTACACCCCTTAAACTACCTTACATCACCTTACGTCGCATGACATTACGTTGGACTGTATTACATCATATTATATTCGGTTCTGTTGTGTTCTGTTTGCATATAAAACCTTGAACCCTAAACCCTGAACCCCAAACCCTTAACCCTAAACCCTAAACCCTCAACCTTAGACCCTAGGCCCCAAACCCCAAATCTGCAGTCAGCATAAGCACCGAGCCTCAGAGTTTGGGTTTTGGGCATCGCCCCTACGCCTTGTCATTTTTGGATGTTGTGTGTTTCCGGGCTCTTGTGAAAGAGCTTCAACTTCAAATTTTACGAAGTTACCATAGCAAGGAATTCGTATTATATAAGGAATTTATGTTATATACTAAGTACAGTAATTTAAGTTACCATATTATGTACTAGTATTATATAAGGAGTTCATGTAAAAAACTAAGTACAGTAGTTTTAAGTTACCATATTGTGTACTAATAGTGTAACTTAAATTAGGGCTCCTCAACAAGAACTCAGGTTTGGGTCTGAACCCTAAACCCTAAACCCGAAACCCTAAACCGTGGGGGTATGAGGTCTCAACCCGAAGCTCTGGGCCTAAACTTTAGGGGTTTTGGCCACACCCTGCGGCCTTAGTCTCGGCCCTACCCCTTTGACCTAGGGTTTAGGGTTTAGGGNNAAGGGTTTAGGGTTCAAGGGTTTAACCCGGATCACTTAAAAAGCTGCTGTTTCGGTGCAGCCAAGGCCGCGAAATGCCGACTTCTACGTGTCCGTCGACCTATATGACACCGAGCATGATTTTACCCCCCCAATTCTTAATCCCCCAAAGGTCTACGGTTTACGGGATGTTTGGGTTTGGGTTTAGGGTTTGTGTCCTAGGCCCCAAACCCTAAACCTTGAAGGAATAGGAAGGTTTATGCAGGTTTGGAGCTCAATCTACGAAATCTCTAAACCCTAAACCCCTAAATCCCTTTATCAAAACAAATAAACCCTAAGCCCCTAAACCCTAAATACCTGAATCCCCAAGCCCTAAATCCTATAGAAAACCCAGACTGTAGACCCAACTACATTGACCATGGAGGCCCAGGGGAGTTAGTAAGTAGGTTATAAGTACCCCAACTGGAGTTACCCCAATTATAACCCTGCTTCTAACCGACTTACTGAGTCCCCTGGGCCTCCAAGTAGTGCATGGTTGGAGGATCCAGGCTTGTTCATTTCAGGGTGTAGGGTTTAAGGTTTAGAGTTTAGGGTGTAGGATTTAGGGGTTGAGGGTGTAGGGTGTAGGGTTTAGGGTGTATTTAGGATTCGGGGTTTAGGGTGTAGGGTTTGGGTTAGGGTTTAGGGTTTCGGGTGTAGGGCTTAGGGTTTATATAGGGTTCAGGGTTTAGGGTGTAGGGTTTAGGGTTTATTTACCCTAAACCCTAAACCCCAAACCCTAAACCCTAAACCCTAAACCCTAAACCCTAAACCCTAAACCCCTGCGTTCAGGGTTTCCGGGTTGGGTGTTCAGGTTTGGGAGTTGAAGTTGGCCGCTGCCTGCCTAAACGTTCGCTCCCGAGCCTTTGCAGACACCGTGAACCCCAAACTACGTTAGGGTTTAGGGTTTAGGGTTTAGGGCCAGTTTAGGGTTTAGGGTTTAGGGTTTAGGCTTCAATAATCTAATATAGAAGGCCTAAATAGTTACCAGTACTATTTTGAGGGTTCTTTATTATAAATATAGTACAAAGGGCCCCAAAACCCTATTGTAATCATTATGGCCCTTACATTGAGCTTCACTGAACTCCAAGCCAAAACTCTGAACTCATTTAGCTTGCAGAGTGCAGGCAAAGGGTCACTTCAAGAAAGGCCCTAATATAGAAGCCTAAATATTTACCAATGTCACTCTTCGGGTTCCTTATTATCCTAATACTATATAAGGAGCCCAAAACCCTATTCTAGTTATTAAGGCCTAAACCCTAAACCCTAGACCCTAAACCCCAAAATCTTCCTTAAACTCACATACATTAACCTTTCCCATGCCTGAAGCCCACGCCTCAAGCTCAAGGATCAGTCGGAGCAGCCGGTGCCGGTGATCACGAAAGCGCGAGCTGTTTTCACGCCAGGCCCTGTAGGGTGTAGGGTTTGAGTTTTCGGGTTTAGGGTTTAGGGTTTAGGCATGTTATTCGCCTAGGCGAGTGGCTTTTGCTTCAGGGTTTGTGGTTCAGATTGTGCTGGTTAAGCCGAAACCCACAGCGCCCCACCACGAAATAGAAAACGCTCGAGAACAAGCCCCCACATGCATGAAGTACAGCGTGGCGTAGTCAGCCTGAAAACTTCGGACGTCGCCGCAGGGTAGCCGCAAGCCGTAAGCCGTAGACCACTGGCCCGTCAGCCCCCCCTCAGCCCCTGAGCCTTAGCCCTAAACCTATAAATGCCATAAATTAGAACCTTAAATCCCGAGCCCCAAGCATAAAGGCCTAAACCTCGGTGACTTGCGAAGGCTTCCTGAGAATGCCTTCCTACGAGTCCCCCGGCGAAGGTTAAGGTTCTACGGTTGAAGATATACATCCTGCATTACCCATACTAAGGAATATGCCATAATTCTCATAGTTTATGGTCCTTATAAGGTAATGCAGGTTTTATATCATCAGCAGTAGGGATTTTGGGACTAGGTCTTTGGATTCAGCTTTCTGAGTCTGCTTCAACGTATAAAGCTGGGACTTCAGGCAAGTTATGAGCAAAGATGACCCACCGACCTAAGTGCAAACTCTGCTAGTTGAGGCCTCGAAACCTAAACCCTAAACCCTTGCTTTCTGTAAAAAGCCTTAAACATGAAACCCGAGACCCTAAACCCTATATGTAAGCCCGACTCCGTTCTTTCGGCGCCCGTTTCGCGCGTTTGAGCAAATTCCATGCTTCGCAGATTGTCTTCGCCTCGTGCCCTGCTTCTGCCGGTCTTGTGGCGGTCGCCAAAACACAAACCCTCAACCCTAAGCTCTACACCCTAATCCCTAAACCCTAATCCCTAAACCCTAAACCCTAAACCCCTAAACCCCTAAACCCCCTAAACCGCTAAGCCCTAAACCCTAATCCCTAAACCCTCATTACAATTCCTATAACCCTAAGGCCGAAAAAGTCGACCCTAGTGTCTGAGAAGTAGGTTTCTCAGCTATGGGTAGTAGAGGTTGCAGTGTAGGGTTGAGGGCTTCTCTTCAATAGGCTTAGGGTTTAGGGTTTAGGGTTCAGGGTTTAGGGGAATCTGAGGAAGATTGAGGTTCTTCAGCTATGGGTAGTAGAGGTTGTAGTGTAGGGTTTAGAGTCTTTCTTCAATAGGGGGTATATGAGGAAGATTGAAGAAGAACAGGTCCTTCTGTTAGAGCTCAGGTGTTTATGGGGCTTCCGTACTTCTCAGATACCGCTGGTGAGCGCATGTTTGCCCTTATGAGGATGGTAATGATGTCCTACAGCACGTTCGGCACGTGGCCCCTGAGGGTTACTCGCAAGCTGCGCCGAGGCTTGTTGGACCCCTCTTGGACAAGCTCCGTCATGACGCCGAGGGCTACGGTTCGCTGTCTTGAGTTCCAAAACCCTAGACCCCTAAACCCCTAAACCCCTAAACCCCTAAACCCTAAACCCTAAACCCTAAACCCTAAACCCTAAACCCCTACACCCTAAACCTTAAACCCCTAAACCCCTAAACCGTAAACCCTAAACCCTAAACCCCCAAACCCCAAAGCTGACCCGGCCAAGTTGGAACCTCCGGGGTCTGCGGATTCAGTCCGCTTGGCGCTCGACTTTCCGCGGCCTGGTTTAGGGTCTATTCGGGTTTATAGGGTTTTAGGGTTCAGGGTTTTAGGGTTCAGGGTTTAGGGTTTAGGGTTTTAGGGGTTAGGGTTTAGGGTTTCCGCTTTCTTGACATTCTTTTAACTGGAGTGGTTACAAAATGCTGCCTCCACTGCTGCTGCTGCTGCTGCTGCTGCTGCTGCTGCTGCTGCTGCTGCTGCCGACCAGCAACAACAGCATACCACAACTACTACCACTACCACTGCTACTGCTACTACTTCTTTTTCTACTCCTCCTTCGACTACTCCTCTTACTCCTGCTCCTCCCCTCCGCCCCCTCCTCCTCCCTACTGCTACTGCCGAGGCTAGTGCCAACGCTAGTGCTACGGCTGCTGCTGCTGCTGCTGCTGCTGGGGCTGCTGCTGCTGCTGCTAGAACGACTACGAACTCGACTACGACAGTGGCTACCACCTCGACTAAGACTGCGACTGCGACGACGATCACGACGACGACGACGACAACGACCGCTACTATGGTTGCGACGATGGCGACTAACACGACGTCGACCACCACCACTATAGCACCACCACCTCCACCATCACCAGCACGGCTACCAGCTGTGCTACAACAAGAAATATTCACATGCACGATCCTGGGGGTGACACAGCATCATCATCTGCAGGCCCATGGCCGTGGCGTCCGTCTTCCGGCCTTGTGCCTGGTTTCCGGATCAGGCCCAGCTGTCGGAACGATAATCAGTTGGAGTTGGCTGAAACTCAGAAGTTGTTGACACTAGTGGTGAGTAATTCTACTAGCAACCACACAACTCATAAGAGCAGTTGCTGTAGAGCACCGAGCAAGGCGTTTGCAGTGATCAGAACCGTTATCAGCAGCAAGAGCAGCAACAGCTGCGTCATCTTCATCATCAGCAACCTTCTCGCCACCATCATCATCACCATCAGGCATCATCAACATCATTCACCACCACCACCGCCAGACAAAGCGTTCGCAATATAACTAGTCAGAACGATAGTACTAATGATGACAGACGAAAAACGTGTTGGCAACAGCGCCGATCACACCACCGATCTTGCAGCATACTGTTCCCAACAGCAGGCCAAGCAACAACAACAGCAGCAGTACCGGAGAAAATGATAATGTCAATCATGACCTACATCGTCTCGCCACCTCTACCATCATCTCAATCATCATCACGATTTTTTCGTCTTCAACCCAATTCGTTATCTTCAATGGCCAGCATTCCTCTTCTTTCGCCAAATAACTGCTGTTACACAACTAGCTCTTATCACAGGATGTCAGGACACTAGTCCGTATTAAGTATTGGCTAACACTAACTAACACCAAATCATCACAAAGGCCCCGACCAGAACTTGAATCAGCGTGCACAGAACGATGGCAGTCACGTCGATCAGGCCCTTGGTGAGAGCCTCGATGGCAGCGGTTGCACACAAAGCCGATGCTCTCGACCCGAAACCATAACGCTTGTGTTCAACTCTCATAACGCAATCTGGCATACTATAGAAGAATAAGGGGGTTTCCGAAAATGGGGGACCCTAACATAGCACCCTAAATAGTAGGTTCCTTATTATAAGGACCCCCAAATAAGGTACTCCTAATTTTCGGAAACTCCCATAAAGGCTAGAGCTGCAGACTATCAGGCCCTGGTTCTGGGGTTTAGGGGTTTTGGGCTGGCGCAGCAAGAGCGGTCAATGGCGATGGGTATGACTGATAATCAGAATGCCGATGATAGTGACAACAACTACGCAAACATGACTGACTAATTGAATATATTAGTAGTAGTCGTCGTCGTCGTCGTAGAGTCGTAGAAGTAGACATGTACGTGACGTTAAACGCCTGCAGGCAATATGAGCTTCCATGCCTTCAGAATTCACAGCCCAAGTAACGGCCTAGTGAGATTTTGTAGGCCTCAGGAGGTTTTCTCTTTACAAAGATATCTTAGCTATTTACCTCCGCCCGGATCGGCGCCCCAGACCCTAAACCCTAAACTCTAAACCCTAAAAAACCCTAAACCCTGAACCCTAAACCCTAAACCCTAAACCCTAAACCCTGAACCCTAAACCCTGAACCCCTGACACAAGGATTGGCGACACGAGGGTTTAGGGCCTCGGCACCAAGGCCCGGTATAAAGCGTGCTCACTGCCTCTCAAAACGCTATATAACTCTGAACACACAGTATGCCGAGGGTCCCTTTTTCAGGGGCTCCTTAAAGGGATCTTAAAGGTTTCTATACAGGTTGCTATAAGGGTACTATAAGGGTTCTATGAGGGTAGTTCTCTAAATGAGGGCCCCTTTTACGTCCCCAATGTAGTCCGCACCCTGGGAATTTCGGGTATTAGATGCTACGACAGTCACACTACCATTGTTGGAGGCTGGATGGAGCCGTCCACAGCAACGGCGATCCTCCCGAGCCGCTGCACCACTCGGCTGGAGAATGCTGGTGAGGTGCGAAACCGCAGACCCAAATCCCCAAAAGCAAAACTTGACAGCTAAAGGTAAAGGGTTTAGGGTTTACGGTTTAGGGCTAGGGTTTAGGGTTTAGGGTTTAGGGTTTAGGGTTTAGGGTCCCAAACCCTACATCTTAAAGTCCTGATCATCCTCAGCCCTCGTGCAGACTACCGAGGTCACGGCATCCAGCTGTTTCAAGACACTGCCATTCAGGACGCCGCGTGCGACGACCTGGGGTTTGGAGTTCAAGTCAAGGCTCAGGTTTAAAGGGGGTTTCGGGTTTCAGCGTTTAGGGCTTCGGGTTTCAGGGTTTCAGGGTTTAGGGTTTAGGGTTTAGGGGTTCAGGGTTTTAGGGTAAGTGGAAAATTCAAGCTCGAACGACGGCAACCCGCAATAAGAGTGCCGAAATGATTGGTGCTGCCAGTAGGGTCACGAATTTGGTCGCTGTGTGTGCCGGGGTCCTTCTAGTCCCCGACCATAAACCTTCCACTCTAAACCCTAAAACCCGAAAACCCTACTTCTGACTTGCGGGACTAAGTTTCCGAGATATCTGCTGCTATAATTATTGTGGCTGGTGGCAATGCCCAGCGACTTAGGGTTAAGGCTTGTAGGCTTTAGGCTCTAGGATTGTGGTGTTTGGGATCTGACTAGCATGATTGGCGCAGCTTTTCTGATTGTGACTAGTATTGGTCCATTTTTGCAGTGTGACTCTGCGCTGCTGTTGCCCTCTTCTGCAACCAACAATTACATGATTTCTGCTCGCCACTAGACTCCGCTCGACCCCAAACCCTCAAGCCTCAACCCCTAAAC